ACACTACTACAGAAGCCGTACTACGACACGACTGCCATACCACCACCACTTGGTGATCTTCAGACGTGGAAAGGATGCACGTAATACCGGAATGTGCTACCTGAGACTCAACACATGCTATAGTGTGCCAGCTAGAGCACCCACCGAAGGGACAGTACATCTACTCGTCCGCTACAACATCTGGATCATGATCGACGCCATTCGCGTACCACCTACAGATGCAACCTGCTCCCACCACAACAATCGCCAAATCCATTTCATCACCGTTGTCCATCAGCTCTAACACTGGACACGCCACTTGGACATCCGACAGCAGCAAAAGCAACTGGCTACTCATCAGCCATCTTCCATCCAAGCTTCAACCTTGCTTCTGCGGGTCTATCATCGTTGAAGCAAGGGCCACTTCAGTCAACTTCCGCTTCCGCCTACCAGCCACTGGGAAGATCCATACCGCCTTTCATACCAGCTTCTTCTTTGCTGGAAGGGTTATGATACTTCTGAGGCTGCGTCTCTGCATCCGACATGGGTAACGCCCGTCGTCCTCTTTGCGACTACCTTGTCAAGCAGGGTGTTACTTCTACCACCCAGCTTTGAGGGGGGGAAGTGTGAGAGTACGACCCCGTTACACTAATTTCCCCTTTTCATATTTCCTTTCTATTTCATTCCTCTTTTTATCCTCATTCATTTGGTCTTTATCTCATCTCATTTGGTTTCCTATTCCTCCTTTTCCATTATCCTTTGGTTTATCCTGTTATTATAATTATATCACCGACCAGGCTCGGGATGTACTGGCGCGCTATATCTAGCGTAATTCTGCCGTAATCCCTTAAAGCCAATAGCCTCGCGTGGCTATACGCAGGGTGATTCTATTTCTAGAAGGGTCTATTTCCTTTGGATAGGATAAACCTGGTTACCTGATGTAATCTGGAAGTATAAAAGCACCTTGTACTGATTGATAGTGCAACATTGAGCAAACCTTTCCTCGGGACATTCGATCCTGTGACAGCCATGCCCCACACTCCTCCTCGCTGCGCCCAGCTACTGCCCCCCTTCAGACCCTGAACCTGGACGTTTGGGGCCCTGCCCCCGTCCCCGGACCGCGCGGTGAGCGCTACTTCCTTGTGCTCGTCGACGACTATACGCGCTACACCACGATGTTACCCCTGGAGCGGAAGGCCGACGTGGCGGCGAGTTCGCCTCTGGTCGGCTTGGACAGTTCTGTCGTGCGGAGGGCATCACCCAGTCGTACACCTTGCCGGACTCGCCACAGCAGAATGGGGTTGCTGAGCGCCGCTTCGGCTTGGTCATGGAGGTCGCCCGTACCTCCATGATCCATGCCGATGCCCCCCATTTTCTGTGGCCGTTCGCTGTTCGCTACGCTGCTCACCAGCTTAACTTGTGGCCACGCTCCCAGCGGCCGCAGGTTTCGCCGACCCTCCTTTGGACCGGGTCCCCCGGTGACACGTCTGGGGCTGCCTTGCTCACGTTCGTGCCTCTGGCACAGACAAGCTCACCGCCCGCACTGTCCCCTGTGTCTTCCTCGGTTTCCCCCTTGACTCGTCTGACTGGCTTTTCTATCACCCGCCGTCTCACCGCTTCCTCCACTCTCGTGACGTTACCGTTGACGAGTCAGTCTCCTTCTACCGTCGCTTCCCTCACCGAGGTCTCCCAGTTGCCCCCCCCTTGTTCCTTGCTCCCTCTCCACCGGTAGCCCCTGCCCCTCTCCCGCCTCGTCCTGCCCCGTCTGGTGTCTCTCACGTCACTCCCCTCCCGTCGGTTGTCCCCATTGAGGAGTCTGCTGACTCTGGTGGTACCCCCGGTCTATCCTTGCCGCGTCCCCCTTCCCCGGTGCCTCCGCCCCCACTGTCGCAGTCGCCGACCCCGCTGCAGCCGCCGCCGCCGTCGCCGCTGTTGCCGCCACCGCAGCCGTCGCCGCTGTTGCCGCCGCCACTTCCGCTGCCGCTCTTGGCCCCTGGGGGTGCTGGTGTGGAGGAGGGTGTTCGTCCTGCGGCTTCTGGGGGTGCCGCTGGTGTTGGAGGGGGTTCTCGCTCTGGGGGTGTTGGTTCTGGGGGTGTTGGTTCTGGGGGTGTTGGTTCTGGGGGTGTTGGTTCTGGGGGTGCTTCTGTTGAGTGTTCGGCCGACGGTCGTTCTGCCTCTGCTGGTCCGAGAGTTCCGGCCCAGCCGTCGTCGCCGCCGCAGCAGCCGTCGCCGCCGGTCTCCGCTCTCCGCCTGCTCGGCCTTCCCTCCCCGGACCGCGCGACGGTGTCTCCCCCACCGCCTGCTGACCTTCCTGTCTACGGTCCTGTGTTCCCGCCGCCGGACTCGTCTCCGGCCCGTCTTCCTCCTCGTTCCCCTCCTGTGTCTCCTCCGCTGTCCCCTGACCCTACACCTCCGTCTCACGTTTGGGCTCGCTGTCCCTCCTGTTCTCATCCTGTCTCTCTTGTCCTGCCCACCCACCCTATGTTGCTCCGTTCCCGCTCGTCTCGTCCTCCCCTCCTCCCGTCCCCTCCTCCCTCGTCCCTTGCTGTTGCACCTCCTCCGTTCTCTGACTACCTCCGTGCTGCTCGTCCCCTTGTCCCTCGGGTCCTTGCCTCTCTTGTTACCGACCCTTCTGTTCCTGTCTCGCGCCTTGACGCGCTTGTCGCTGCTGTCGCTGACTTCGCCTCTACCCGCCGCCTTGAATACGCTACCGCTCTGGTCTCTGACCCTGCCCGTCCTCCGTCCGTCGGGGGTGCTCCTGCCCTTGGCAGTGACGTCCTAGAGGACAGGCAGTACGAGCTTGCTTTCCTTTCCGAGGCTGCTCCCCATCTCTGCTCCATGCTTTTAGTCCCTGAGGGTGACCCAGACGCCTTCGACATCCCGACCCCTCGCACCTACGCTGAGGCCACCTCGCGACCTTGGGCCTCTCAGTGGATAGCTGCTATGGAGCAGGAGATGGCATCTTGGAGGTCCACCGGCACTTACGTCGACGCAGTTCCCCCGCCTGGGGTGAACGTAGTCGATGGTCAGTGGCTCTTCAAGGTGAAGCGCCCCCCTGGAGAGCCGCCTGTCTTCAAGGCGCGCTACGTGGCCAGAGGCTTCAGCCAGCGCGAGGGGGTTGACTTCTTCCAGACCTTCGCCCCGACCCCGAAGATGACCACTCTTCGGGCGCTGCTACACATAGCAGCACAGCGTGACTACGAGCTTCACTCCCTCGACCTCTCTACTGCCTTTCTTCAGGGCAGCCTACACGAGCAAGTCTACCTGCGCCGACCACAGGGTTTCACAGGTACCTTCCCTCCTGGGACCCAGTGGCTTCTCAGGCGCCCGGTCTACGGCCTGCATCAAGCTCCCCGCAAGTGGCACGATACGCTACGTGCCACGTTAGCAGACCTGCAGCTCTTCCCGTCCTCTGCTGACCCTTCATTGTTTGTGCGTTCCAGTTAGACTCCGTTCTACATCCTTGTCTACGTAGACGACCTGGTCTTCGCTACTACTGACAGGGACGCACTGGCCTCTGTGAAGACTGAGCTGCTGAAGAGACACACCTGCACTGACCTTGGAGAGCTGCGTCGCTATCTTGGCCTGCAGGTCTCTAGGGACAGAGCAGCACGCACCATCACTCTGACCCAGTCACACTTGGTGCGTCAGGTTCTTCAGAGGTTCGGTCTTCAGTTCTCTTCTGCACAGCCCACACCTCTACCTGTAGACCACGGGCTTTCCGCTCCTGTTCCTGAGGAGTCAGTAGAGCCCAGCGGCCCCTACGCAGAGCTGGTGGGTTGCCTCATGTACCTGATGACTTGCACTCGCCCAGATCTCGCATACCCTCTCAGCATCCTGGCTCGCTTTGTGGCCACTGGCAGACACCGACCACAGCACTGGTCGGCCGCTAAGAGGGTTTTGCGATATCTAGCAAGTACATCAGGCATGGGGTTAGTGTTAGGAGGACGCAGGCCAGTGGTCCTCACTGGGCACACAGACGCTTCTTGGGCAGACGACTCTGAGACGCTCAGGTCGTCGCAGGGCTATTGTTTTAGCCTTGGTTCGGGTGCTATCTCTTGGAGATCCACTCGCTCGTCGTCTGTTGCTCAGTCCAGCTGTGAGGCTGAGATCTACGCTGGTGCCATGGCGGCACAGGAGCTCCGCTGGCTGACCTTCTTGCTCACAGACTTAGGTGAGCGGCCTAGCTCTGCCCCGGTCCTGTACGCTGACAACAGGGCCATGATACTCTTGTGTCAGGAGCCTCGACTTGAGGGCAGAGCGAAGCATATCCAGCTGCGGTACTTCCTCCTGCGCGAGCTACAGCAGCGCCGCCAGGCCCGCGTAGTTCACTTGGCCTCTGGTGCCAACACAGCTGATATCTTTACGAAGGCGCTTGCGCCTAAAGATCATCAGCGGCACTGTGTACAGCTCGGTCTAGTTCCTGTAGCCTCTCACTTGCTAGGACCTTGACTTTGTACTGTCCTATATATATCTATATATGTACTACTGGACTTGTGTCCTCTCCCAGTTGCTGGACTAGTAGTGCCGCCCTGGTCTTGTTCTTGTCTTGCCTGTTCTCCTTTTGACTGGTCTTTAGACCCTTGTCTTAGTGGCTGGACTAGTAGTGTCGCCCTGAGCTGCTTGTTTAGGATTTGCCCCTACGTTGTCTAGGGGGTGTGTCAAATATATGTATAACTCATATTTGTATAGACTGCATAGGGTTACCTCTTAGAGGGTACAACACTCTTAGGTATATACCCTTGTTCTCTCTCTCTCTATTCAACACTTGTTCAGTTTTCTTCTCGACACCTCCCTCCAATGTATGTGCGTTTAGCGACGAGAACTATGTAACCACGCATCTGAAATGAAGCACGCTGCCTTTGCAAGATGGACTAAGCAACTTTCACAATATCAAGGTACAAAAAAAAGTCCTCCCACTCAGAGTACACCCCCCAAAAAAGTCTGAAAAAGTTAGAATCAGAGTAAAAAGTATGCAATTTGGGGGGCTGAGTGACTGCCTATTTTCTTCTGCACAAACTTAGGCGGAATCATTTTTATTACTCCCAAAATATAGCCAGAACACTCTCAGGTACACTGCCTAAGCAGTGAAAATGTTACAGCTCCAAAACCCTACCATCTGTTCCATCTAAACCTCGTATCCTAACCTCCTTTCAGAGCTGCTTGAACTAGTGCCACAACTGAAGCAGTGCGTTAGTCATCACGCCAAGGCCTGCAACGAACCACTTCACGAACACCAACCACCAAGAGTCCTTGGGTCCTGCCTTCATTCCCTTGGCAAGGAGATGGCCAAGAGCAATGAAGATGAAGACTCCGGCTGCCATACCATTTCCGAACCCCTTAATCCACTCCCTTGCCACCTTGCCGCTGGCCGAGTCAAGAGCCAAACCAATGGCAATGCCAGTAGGTGCAACAATGGAAGCACCCAGTGCATACAGGAAGTGGTTAAGGCCACTGCGGGAGGTGTTCTGCACGCGAAGAGTGACACCAAGGGCCATGCCCTCGAAAAACTGCAAACATGCAAGAAAGCAATCGGTTAGCTCCATTACAGGATTGTGTACTCTTTTCCCCCTCGCAAAAAAGTGGAAACTTCAAGCTCGCAACTTGAGAATTCCAACATACCTCATTCACACCGATTTGTGCAGTCATGGACCAGACTTTGGAGACAGTAGACGCAAGTCCAACAGCCACGCCCTCAAAGAAAGCGTGGAAGCAGAGGCCGAAGAGGACGAGGACGACGTCAACAATGGTGAGCGCCTGAATATCAACTTTAGCAACAGCGGCCTCCGCATCTGCATCAACCACCTTCTTCTCTCCGACTCCCATTGCGCCAGCAATTGTCGGTCCCAGCTCGTCGTCCTGAGAACCAAAAACAATCCGAGAGTTGAGCAAACCTTTGAGAAAGCATTCGCCAGAAAGGACGCATTAAGTCCCAAACCCATTGGGAAGTGGAGTGCATTGAGAATGGCGCTTACATTATCGCCGGAAGCTCCCGTGCGCTTCACCCACACGGACTTGACGATGAGATCGCACACCCATGTGAGGTAGATCCCCATCACGATGACCAGCATACCATACGGATAGTCTGCAAAAGTAAACGGAGCCATGTAAATTCGCTTTCGGGCCTCTTTGTGGTGAGTGATCGATTCTTTCGGCGGGTCAAAGACATGAAGCAACTACGTAAAGCAATCAACTACGGGTGGATGTGCACTTACCGTCTCCTGCCAGTTCCTCAAACTCCTCGAAGGTCTCCACAGCGAGGTACAGGAGAGACATGCCGATGAAGAGGCCAGTTGAGAAGAGAATTCCGAACTTGAGGAACAGCGGCCGCACAGGGATGAAGTACGGAACCCACACGCCCAGGAAACTGCACGCGAAAAAGACGAAGATGGCCCCGGCCTTGTTGGCATTGAGTGTCTTCGTGTCATCAGGTACCTGTCAAACGCAAAAGAAAGAAAGGAAAAGGAAGACATGTACGTTAGCCTGCTGCTCTGCTGCTGCTGACAGAGAAATTCTGGACGGAAGGCATCAGTCGATGAAACTTACTTCGTTCGGGTCAGATTTAGGCGTGGCAAATGCGACGGACGTAAAGGCTGCGACGCAGAGGAGTATGAGCAGCTGTCTCTTCCAGGAAGCCATGGCTGACTAGTGGTCGTAGGGGTGGCTAAGACGAGTCGGTAGGATTGAGGAGAGCGAGAGAATGGAGCGGAGAATGGGGTTTAGGCGAAAGGGGCTTGACTGGTTTAGACCTAACGAAAGGAGCTAGGACTAGCAGATATGGAATCCGCAGGTAGATGCACAACTGTGCAAATGGCGGTGCCTTTGTACTACAACAGAGGGGACTAGAATCACAGGGGGGGGTCAGAAGGTCTCTCATTCCCCCTCTCGTTCGAAGCTAGGGAAATTTTGGCGGCAGAAGTAGGGTAAATTCGGGGAGGTTGCATTCGGTGTGGATTACTAGTTCCGAACGCAAGCCTGTAATCGCGGCTTGGTGACATGGCGTCATCGCTGGCAATAAACGGAGAGCACTGTCAGCGGACTCCGAAACGCTGCCACTGTCTCTCCTAGAGCACGTCGCGCGTATGAGAGAAGCCTGCTGCATCTTATCGCTTGGTAACTCGAGAAGACAACAAGTCACGCCGTTAGAGCGTGGAGAAGGCATGGATGTGATGTGGGCCATTTCATCTGGGGGTAAGCTGATGAGGCAGGTGAGGCAGGTACAGTACAGTAAATCCCTAGGTTCAGTTCAGAGGCGACCGGAAAGTCGGCATTAGGGGGAGGTAATACTGTACAGTGCTTCGGTTCGGACACCCAGGCCGAAAAGCCGCATGAAGGAGCATCAGCCCAGCGCGACGGCATTGGTGTTGTGAAAAGAAGCGTGTTTTCCACCCATCCATGACATGACATGAGTCACATGACATGGCGTGGCGCCGTCGACTCCGCACCTAGACAGGTGCCACCTGGTTAAGGCGACATCATTCTACGGTACATTACATCGCCAGCTTCGTGGCTAGGGAGAAAGATCGTGCTGTAAAACGTGGAAAGAACACAGCACACCAGAATGGCCTTAGCACATCATCGCCAGAAACGGAGCTCCGTAGGCCGAGTCATGGCATAAAAACGAGGCGAGCACGTTGGAAACACGCTCTTCACGGATATGTACCACTCGAGCAGCCTACGCCAAGTTTAGGTTAGGGCGTGCGACGTGGCGTTTCCAGGTGGTTGTGTATGACTGGCCACCACACTCTACCATACCGTACCCAACAGAGCTGCTGAACTTCTAGAGTTCTCCAGACAAATCTCATGGTAAAACAAAGAGCGCGGAGTGAGTTGAATTTCGGTAGTTTGATAATTTCGGTAGCTGCACTTGTTCGTTCCTTTGCGGTAGTAAAATGTCGCACACATGGCGGCAAACGCATGGAATCGGGGATCTTAGAAGTCGCCAGAGAGCATTTGACATTTCAACGCGATAAATGGTACCGCTTCGTGAATAATTTCCCCCGAAAGCCGGTCAGGATAACGCATGAACATGTCGCGTTGTGGATGTTCCACCTGTTAGAATGAGAACTGAATGGTTGAGTAGTGTGAGAGTACATGTGAATATACCCAAGTGTTGTACCCTCTAAGAGGTGGCCCTATACAGTCTATGCAAACATAGGAGATACACATGTTTGACACACCCCCTAGACTGCAGGTCCTGAACAAGCAGCTCAGGGCGGCACTACTAGTCCAGCCTCTGAGACAAGGGCCTAAAAGACCAGTCAGAAGGAGTACAGACAAGGCAAGAACAAGAGCAGGGCGGCACTACTAGTCCAGCCACTGGAGGTAAGGCCACAAGGCCAGTTTGACAGGCATATATCATAGAGAGTACACAATCGGGATCCTAACAGGGGAGCAGCTACAGGAACAAGACCAAGCTGTACACAGTGCCGCTGATGATCTTTAGGCGCAAGCGCCTTCGTAAAGATATCAGCTGTGTTGGCACCTGAGGCCAAATGTACTACGCGAGCCTGACGTCGCTGCTGTAGCTCGCGCACAAGGAAGTACCGCAGCTGAATATGCTTCGCTCTGCCCTCGAGTCGAGGCTCCTAACACAGGAGGATCATGGCCCTGTTGTCAGCGAACAGGACTGGGGCAGAGCTAGGCCGCTCACCTAAGTCAGTGAGCAAGAAGGTCAGCCAGCGGAGCTCCTGTGCCGCCATGGCACCAGCGTAGATCTCGACCTCACAGCTGGACTGGGCAACAGACGAGGAGCGGGTAGCTCTCCACGAGACGGCACGTGAACCAAGGCTGAAGCAGTAGCCCTGGGTAGACCTGAGTGTCTCGGCGTCGTCTGCCCACGAAGCGTCTGTGTGTCCAGTAAGGACACATGGCCCACGTCCTCCTAGCACTAACCCCATGCCCGATGTACTAGCAAGATAACGCAAAACCCTCTTAACGGCAGACCAGTGTTGCGGTCGGTGTCTGCGTGTGGCCACAAAGCGAGCCAGGATGCTGAGAGGGTATGCGAGATCTGGGCGAGTGCAACTCATCAGGTACATGAGGCAACCCACCAGCTCTGCGTAGGGGCCGCTGGGCTCTACCGACTCCTCAGAAACTGGAGCAGAGAGTCTGTGGTCTACAGGTAGAGGGGTGGGCTGTGCAGAGGAGAACTAAAGGCCGAACCTCTGAAGGACGTGGCGCACCAAGTGTGACTGAGTTAGGGTGATGGTGCGCGATGCTCTGTCCCTGGAGATCTGCAAGCCAAAGTAACGGCGCAGTTCTCCAAGGTCAGTGCACGTGTGTCTCTTCAGCAGCTCTGCCTTCCCTGTCTGCTATCGCAAAGACCAGGTCGTCGACGTAAACAAGGATGTAGAACGGAGTCTGGCCAGCACGAACGAAGAGTGAGGGGTCTGCGGAAGATGGAAAGAACTGCAGGTCAGCAAGGGTAGCACGCAGCGTGTCGTGCCACTCACGAAGAGCCTGGCGCAGGCCGTAGACGGGGCGCCGCAGGAGCGAATGGGTCCCAGGAGGGAAGGTGCCAATAAAGCCCTGAGGGCGACGCAAGTAGACCTGCTCGTGTAGGCTGCCCTGAAGGAAGGCAGTAGAGAAGTCGAGGGAGTGAACCTCGTAGTCACGCTGAGCAGCTAGGTGTAACAGAACCCGAAGAGTAGTCATCTTTGAGGTCGGAGCGAAGGTCTGGAAGAAATCCACCCCCTCACGCTGACTGAAGCCTCTAGCCACGTAGCGCGCCTTGAACACAGGCGGCTCTCCAGGAGGGCGCTTCACCTTGAAGAGCCAGCGGCCATCGACTACGTTCACCCCAGGCGGGGGAACTGCGTCGACGAAGGTGCCGGTGGATCTCCAAGATGCCATCTCCTGCTCCATGGCATCTATCCACTGCGAGGCCTAAGGTCCCGAGGTCGCCTCAGCATAAGTGCGAGGGGTCGGGATGTTGAAAGCGTCTGGGTCACCCTCAGGGACTAGCAGCATGGAAGAGAGATGTGGAGCAGCCTCGGACAAGAAAGCAAGCTCGAACTGGCGGTCCCCCAGGAGACAGGGGAGGGGACACAGGAGGGGAACGAGGGGGAAGACAGGCCGGGGACGAGTCCGGCGGAGGGAACACAGGGCCGTAGACGGGAAGAGGAGGAGACGGTCAAAGAGGAACAGACGCAGGGTCAGGGGACGGAAGGCCGAGCAGGCGAAGGGCGGACACCGGCGGGGACTGCTGCTGCGGTGGCACAACGCCGACATCTGGACCGCAAGCTGCTCCTCGGCTACCACCGGCACACTCCACACCAGCACCCCCAGAGGGAACACCTCCAGGGCCCGAAACCCCTCGAGGACCGGTACCACCCCCAGGGCTACCGGGACTAGCACGCACTCCAACGCCAGCACCCCCAGAGTCAACGAACGGGTGCTGCGACGGCGGCGGCGGCAACGACAACGACGCCTGCGGCGGAGGTGACAACGGCTGCGACAGCAGGGGCGACAGCGGCGGCAGAGGCGGTGGAGGAGGGGACGCCTGGGGAGGGGCGGTCGTCGAGGACTGCGCCGCAGGACCACCAGAGTCAGAGGACTCCTCAACCGGGACCACCGACGGAAGTGGGGTGACGTGGGACACACCAGAGGGGGCAGGACGGGGAGGAGGAAGGGGGGGGGCAGGGACTATCGGGGAAGGAGGGACCAGGAACAGGGGGGGGGTAACCGGGGGACCGCGGTGGGGGAAGCGACGGTAGTAGGAGACGGACTCGTCAAAGGTGACGTCGCGAGAGTGAAAGAACCGGTGAAACGGCGGGTGGTAGAAGTGCCAGTCGAACGCGTCAAGGGGAAAACCGGGGAAGATGCAGGGAAGGGTGTGGGCAGTGAGCTTGTCCGTGCCGGAGGCACGGACGTGAGCAAGGCAGCCCCAGACATGGAACGCATACGCGTCACCAGGAGACCCAGTCCAAAGACGGGTCGGCGAAACCTGCGGCTGCTGGGGGTGCGGCCACAGGTTTAGCTGGTGAGAAGCGTAGCGCACAGCGAACGGCCACAATAAGTGGGGTGCACCGGCATGGATCATGGAGGTGCAAGCAACCTCCATGACCAAACCGATGCGTCGCTCAGCGACCCTATTCTACTGTGGGGAGTCCGGTAGGGTGAACGTCTGGGTGATGCCCTCCGCACGACAAAAGCGACCAAGGACACCTGAGCCAAACTCGCCACCACGGTTGGAGTGAAGACGCAAGACAGGGAGACCTCGGTGGACACGGGCAGAAACAAGCCAGGGGATGAGAGCGGCTGGCACGTTGCCCTTCCGCTCCAGGGGAAAGACCGAGGTGTAGCGAGTGAAGTCGTCGACAAGCACAAGGAAGTAGCGCTCTCGACGCGGCCCATGGACGGGGGCGGGGCCCCAGACGTCCATGTGCAGGGTCTGCAGCGGCGCGGCGGTAGGGGGAAATGAGGAGGAGTGAGGGGCACGGCGAAGCCGACCCTCGACGCAAGGCGTGCAAGGTGGCGCTGGGGAGGAGGGAAAAGCGGGGAGAGAACCAGGGAGACCAAGGACGAGACCGTGCTGGGACATGTGACGCAGACGCGGGAGCGCAGGGTGACCAAGGCGGTGGTGCCAAAGGAGAGTCGGGTGAGTGAGGGACCGACAGGAGCAGGCAGCAGCAACCTGGGTAGACGCAGCCACCTGAGGTGTCACAGGATCGAATGTCCCGAGGAAAGGTTTGCTCAATGTTGCGCTATCAATCAGTACAAGGGGCTTTTATACTTCCAGATTACATCAGGTAACCAGGTTTATCCTATCCAAAGGAAATAGACCCTTCTAGAAATAGAATCACCCTGCGTATAGCCACGCGAGGCTATTGGCTTTAAGGGATTACGACAGGATTACGCTAGATATAGGGCGCCAGTACATCCCAAGCCTGGTCGGTGATATAATTATAATAACAGGATAAACCAAAGGATAATGGAAAAGGAGGAATAGGAAACCAAATGGGATGAGATAAAGACCAAATGAATGAGGATAAAAAGAGGAATGAAATAGAAAGGAAATATGAAAAGGGCGTGTCCAGTTGCTTTTGCTGCTGCTGGATGTCCAAGTGGCGTGTCCAGTGTTAGAGCTGATGGACAACGGTGATGAAATGGATTTGTCGATTGTTGTGGTGGGAGC